CCCCAGCACCAACTGCCACTCTGGGCCAGAGTGAAAAGAGAGGGGGCCAGGGGACAGTTCCATCTTGTCTCCTGCATATGTCATCAGTTGAGGACCCTCCCCCCAGCACCAACTGCCGCTCTGGGCCAGAGTGAAGAGAGAGGGGGCCAGGAGACAGCTCCATCTTGTCTCTTGCATATGTCATCAGTTGGGGACCCTACCCCCAGCACCAACTGCCGCTCTGGGCCAGAGTGAAGAGAGAGGAGGCTAGGGGACAGTTCCATCTTGTCTCCTGCATATGTCATCAGTTGGGGACCTTCCCCCCAGCAGTAACTGCTGCTCTGGGCTAGTGTGAAGAGAAGCCCTCCTGACAAAGAGCCATCCAGCCATAGATATAGATATGATTCACACACACACAGATATAGTATCATAGATTTGAAAGGGACCCCTACGGAAGGACAATGATATGTTGCATGTTCCAGAGTAGGCAAATCAGACACTCTCCACATCAACACTGACAAAGAAACATCAAGAAATACGGTTTACCCATAAGCATAAAGAAATTACATATATTAGAAACCAACACTTTCTCATTACTTTATTTTCCAGATCAACAGACTGGGCCACAGCAATGCATGGCAGGGGACAGCTAGTAATACATATAAAGATATCATAGATTCTTTCTTTACATCCGCTTCTTCTTTGTCTACAATCTTATAGGATCCTCTATATACATTTTTAGTTTAATTTTACATTAAGCTGTTGAATCATTGGTTGCTATTCATTAACAAAGTTATCTAATAGTTCTCCTCTTAATAATACAGTTATTTTGCCCATTATCAGGATATCTATAATATATTTTTCCCATTCTTCTAAAGGAGGTATATCTGGGGTTTTCCAATATCTAGCATATACTATTCGAGCTGCCACTGTTGTGTAAAACAATTTTTTTCCAAATTTTCTTCCTAATTCTTCCTTGGGCATACTCAAAAGGTACATTTGAGGTGTACTAGGATGGTTTTAAATGGTGTGTTTTAATATTTTGTTAAATGTTTTTTAATGTTTATGTATTGTATGTGAATTTGTGTTGAATGTTTGCTGTATATATGAGTCCCCTTCAGGGTGAGAAGGGTGGAATACAAATGTTTTAAATAAAATAAATAAATAAATATGTTGGACTTCAGATCTTGGAGGAGAGCGGCATTTCCATTTTTCCAAAGGAGAGAGCTCAGATCCTTGGCATGCTATGGGTTGTGCATAGATAGCATGGGCGTTTTGTGTGTGACCTTCTTTGCTTTCAAGATCAGGGACAGATGTTTGCATCAGTAGAGTCACATTGTGTTCAATGCTGTATGTTTCTTTCCCTTTGCCAGCTGCAACTGCAATTCCTCCATGCCTCGTCCCGTGAAGGTGGTGTCTGTGGGCGGTCAGAGTTATCTCAGTTCCATTTTGAGATTTTTTGTCAAGCAACTGGCAAACAAGACGTCGGACTGGCTGAACTACATGAGGTTCCTTATCGTTCCACTAGGTAAAGGCTTCCCTATTTGATAGGTGACAGATTCAACTATCCACGGCTTGAAATGATAACCAAAACAAAACCTAAAAGGCAACCCTTGGTTTTGCCTTTTTATATTTATGGACACCATTTTACTACTACATTTGTTGATGAACGGGCCCACTCTTGAACATGAAATGTAATTGACTAGAAGGAGTTGTTTATGTGCTTACATGGAAGAATGAGATTGCCAAATCAGTAGGGTTAACTTTGCCTCCATCATTTTAATTATCCAAATTATCCAGAAGGACCATGACTAAGATTTTTATAGTCCTGTAGCTTGGGAAGAGATAGCTTCCTGGTGCCAATATGTCAGTTTTGGTGCTAGATTGATAGGTCTTATCAAGGAAAATGATAGGAACCGATCTTGTCTCCTTCTGCAGGTTCTCACCCAGTAGCCAAGTACATTGGTATTGTGGATAGCAGATACAGTGGAATGTTTCTGGATACCGCCTGGAGAGAACTTTTCAGCAAGTCTGAGCCACCTGCAACTGGTAAGAATGGGTTGTCAATAGATAACCTTGGCTTGAAACCAGGCCTGTAGCCGGAGGGGGGTGTTAGGGGTTCAAACCCCCCCCCCCAAATTTTTCAGGTTAACAAAAAAACCTGGTTTACTCATGATTTTTAACTAGTTAACCAAATCCCCATGCTAAGTCTATGAGATGCAAAAACTTAAGGGTCCCTCCAGAACTTCAAGCACTATCTCAAGCAAATATTGACAATTTATTCATACTGTCATTACTTGCAGCAATAGCCGATGTAGCG